TGCTATTATTTGTTACTGTTATACCCCACCTATGGATGATAATGGGTATGTCCCAATCCATATAAATACAGCAGAATATACTGTATGAGATAGCCATTTGTGATTCACCTTGATTCACTTCTAGCTCACCCCTAGCAGTTGATTACTTACTGTACACTGCTGGTAAATCTTGTTTGTTGTTTCTGTTATAAATATTATCATTCCATTGCCAACCTTTGTTTTGGTTATTCTTATTCACTAACCTTTTTCTAGGTTAGAACAGTTACATAATTTAATATTTTATTCTTTGATATTGTTGTTCATAACAAATATATTGATGATAAAATTTAATTTTTTTTATTATTAACTTGTTTTTCTTTCTAGAAGTTTTTTTTTTTAAAAAAAAGGATGTTGAATTTTAATTTACCATTAATAAACATAAAATAGGAGCAAACATATTTTACTCTACAATATTAATGAAAAATTATTCATTAAGAATGTTAATGTCATAATTCAATTTATTTAATATTTTTAGATATTATAAATGAAGTGTACAAAACGTTAATTCTAATCCTGCTTCTAAACCACACATTTATAAGTCAATTTCTTTCTAGATACTTATAAAAAAAATCATAAAAAAATGTATACTTATGACAAAATAAGTTAGCATAACAAGAGTTACTTTATTCCTAAATAAATAAACTAAAAAGTTACTTTTATATTTATTTTATTTCATGTCATATTTTTCTTCCAGAATTCATAATTTCAGTATTGCCCTTGCCTCATTAAAACTGTTTTTAATGTGGAGAATTCAAAGATTAAAATGCATTTCGTTAACTTCTTAATGATATAGGAAGTGATGGATCAGAGGCTCCACCAAATTACATATTAATTATAATAAGACCTTAGTAAAGAAAAGATTTACCAAGATAAAGAGGATTAACTTTTTAACCAAATTTGTGACACTGTTAAGGTGCTGGTAAATTGGAAAAAAAGCTTTCAAAATACAGAAAGAAAAACAATGTTTTTTGATAGACTGAAAGTATACTGATAACAAAAACCAGAAGAATGAAAGAAAAGGATATTTGTTTTCTTTTCTTTCCCCATCCCGGGGTTCAAATGCCAACAGTGGCTAGCATATTTATTTATTTTTGGTCAACTTAAGCGATGGTATTTTCTTAAGTGTCCACCCAACCCTGCACAGAAAAATAGATTACATTTTAACGACTTCAAGTGCCAACGAGAGAAGAAAATAAGAGTGTGAGTAGGTCACTTGTTGAACAAAGTGGGTAAGGGGGGGGGATCACCCATGACGGCTAAAAAGTCTCTAGCCAAAATTTGATCAGTTGATAAGACAACAGAAAGACAGAAATGAAATACAGAAATGAAATGGTTAACTTTTTCTTTTCTTTGTTCATCTGCCTAAGATGTGATAAAATTTATTAAAACAAAAGAATTGTCTCTTATTGTCACTTGTTGACCAAAGAGCTGGCAAGGGAAAGCGACAGGTGACAAATCCCAGATGTAACCGGCCCACAAGGATGCGATAAGAATTCCCCGCTGATAGAAATTTTGGATGATAACTGACTTTAGCAAGTTGGGCTAGACCACGCCTAGCCTCTGGGAACAAGTTTGATTGGGAGAAGGTAAGAGAGGTGGAGGCCCAGGTAGAATTTCAAGGAAGGTGGAGGAATCCCCTGCACTCTTCAGGTGGTGACAGTGAGAGGCACCAACATGAAATGGAAGGAGTTGGGCAGATTGATATTCTGCCATCACCACTCTTTGAGGGAGGGATCTCCCCAAATTTGGTCAGGCAATCAATTTCCCAAGACCAGACAATGAAAGGCTCTGTATAGGTGTTGGGGTTTCCCCAGGAACCCCCAACCACCTGATGCCCCTCATTGAGTTTGTGTGAGGGTCCATAATTACAGATGAGTGAAGCAAGAAACAGAAGAGAAGAAACCAGACAGTTCAAGGTGCTGTTGGCAAGAGAGGTGCATTGCCAGTTCGTTCAAGAACTGCTTTGCCAAACCTCACACAACTTCTGCAGAAAGAACTTAGACTCCAGCTTTGTTCCAGACTACCAGATGCAACTGAAGGGTTGGCCCAAAGAAATCAGAGTGAAAGAATTTAGCCTCCGGCCTTGTTCTAGGCTACCAATTACAATCGAATAGTCGACCCAAAGAAATCACAAAGTGGAAGAAATCAGACTTCAGCCTTGTACCAGTTTACTGAACATGGCTAAAGATAGTGTCACAGGTTATTAAGAGGGAAGGTGCTGAAAATCTGCATGTTGTTAATTTAGTGAGTAGAACATTCACTGTATGAACCTTTGATATGAAGTTGTTGTGTTACACAGCTGTCTTTTACTTTGTTCTTTGTGGCATCATCTCACCAAAGCTAACAGATCATCAACGTTGGGTATACAACTCGGCCTTCACTTGCCTTGTGATCTAAAACAAACACAACATGGGCAGTACGGGATTGAGGATCAGGGGTAACCAACTCTATGGCTGGCCATAGGGATCAACCACAGACTTGCCAAGTGAACGTTTGTTTTGGTTTGGCTTATTTTGTTTAACAGCATATTAACTTCAATGGGTTATTTAATGCCGACAGCATTTTTAGGATAGATTTGTATGAATAGAGTATGTATTCTTTGGTTTAGATTGGTTTGATTTATTTTGTTTTACGGAATATCAACCTCAATGGGTTATTTAATGCTGACAAAAATTTTTATTGCTGGTAATATTTTGTTTTGTCAAAAATCTGTTTCTGGTAATATATTTCCTTCAAAATTGTATTGCTGGTAATAGTTAACTATTTGCCCATAGCTGGGACCCTAACAGGTGCTACCACCCCGTGTCAGGGTGGACCTGGGAACACCAGCAATTAAGAGGTGGTGCCACGCACCTCAGAACCTCCTGATCAGAGGCCTTGCTGCTGGACATAGTTTAACGTCTTACCCAGGACGCGGATGTAGTTTAACGTCTTACCCAGGACAGCCAAGTGAATGTGGGTGGTGTGTGATGTCATGAATTAATTATGCCCTTAATCAACTTTCTTTGAACTTCTTAAGCCATCTACAGCAGTGAACTATTGCAAACCCAAACCAAAATCTTTGATCTCAGTGGAACAACGAGATTTGAGAAAGTGCACCTCTCACCCAACACTGGATGCCTATGACATGGTTGTTAGCAAAGAACATCATGTTACACATAATTATTATGAATGACATTGAATGGCTAAGCATAGAAGAATTATGACATGATTTCTATAGCAATTGAAATATAAATATGACAAAATTTTCAAACAATATATCAAGGGTGGGGAAATGGCAGCTTGCAAGCCACATGCAGCTCTTTGATCTTTAATATGTGGCTCATGGAAATATGTTGGTTGAGCTCCTTTTTTCATCACAATTAATATAAAAAGGTAAATAAGAAAAATTTCAAGTTTTATAATTATTTACAGGGCATTGGATTAAAACATCTTCACTTCATGAACTTAAGCCCAATACTAGATTTGCAACTAGATTGTACCATTTTACAGTTGAGACTGGTAGATGTAACCATAAGTTCTATGCTAATCATCAAGAGAGTAACTCTTTGCACCTTCTTGTTCTAATGATATGAATTGGAATAATTACATTGAATCAATTGCTAGGTCTGCTGTTTGAAAAGTTGCTTCACTGTGTATGATACATTTGGCTGAAGAAAAATAAAATAAAAAAAAAAAAAAACACTATCTTGTATCTTTACATGTCTAATATTCATCTATGCCGGGGTGGCCAAACTGTGGCTTGAAAGCCACATGCAGCTCTTTGACCCTTAATATGCTGTGGCTTGTGGAAATATATCAGCTGAACTCCTTTTTCATCAGGGTTAATATAAAAAGAAAAATTTCAATCTTTATAATTATTTATTGGGCATTGGATTAAAACGCAAGTTAAATGTTAATGTGTATGTAACAAAAACATGTGTAAATTTAGTTCATGTCTTGTAGCTCTGAACATCTGAATTTTATAGTGTGATTGAAAATAATATTCAGCTTAAAAGGCTTTCCTTCTTTGAGGTGGGGATTATATATATGCATATGTGTGTGTATTTAATTTATATATTATTATGTCCATATTTTTTGAATAAAGTCTTATTTTTTTTAGAAAGTTCATTATTTTGGAAGAGTGGATTTGGTTGAAGAATTTTCTTACTTGGTAATATCTTTCTTGAGTTAGGCAAAAGTCCTGACAACCCAGCAATACATGTTTTACTGATAGTCTCTCTTGACATCCTATACACATTGGGGGTTCTTCATTCTCCAGTAGATATTTGTGAGTGATTTGGGTGCCTTACTCTGGGAACCAAGTACATACTATAATTAACCAACTTATAAAGAAGCAAATGCAAACCATAATGGAAGACTGTAATGTACAAAGAAAATGGGTTATAGATGTCCAAGTGCACTTGATTTGATGATGATAATTCTCTAAAGTGTTAAACTTTATGTACCAAAACTATCGTCAATACTATGTTATATTGTAACAAAACTACCATTCTTATTCCCTTCGTATCCCATTGGTAAGAAGGAAGTTCCATTCAAACAGCTTCTTCCCAAGAGCTGCTACTTTAGGCAACAGGCTCCTAAGAGGATACTTCCCCAAACACTACAATCTTATTCTCTTAGAGTCTAGGTTCAACCATTATCTATCGTACATAATCTGCACTTACTTTATGGTCCATACAATAAACTCATTTAGTAACCATCAACCTTGAATGGCTCTTGGGCCTTGTATTGAGTGAACATTTAGTTGAGAAGAAGAAAAAAAAAAAACTTGAATCAACCTTCACATTTATCATCAGGCACTAAATAAAAGTTCAGCCAAAAACCTAAATTTAAGAATATTTAAAGTTTATAGAGATGGGGGAAAATCCTTTTAAAATTCAAATTCTTTACCACATGTTAATATACATAGGATACATGTTAAACTTTCAAAGGAGTGGAAAAAATGGCTGGATACTTACTATAGCTTTTTTCTTTGAAACAACTGGTACGAAGATTTGAAACATATTCTTCTTCTACTTGTCTTTCTATTCTTCGTAAATCATATTTGGAATCTACATGAAAATCATCCTTCACAAAATATGGAACTTTAAGGTTATTTGTTAACCTTTCAGTAGAATATTTCCTAAAAAAAAAAATTCAATATAAAAAAGAAATTGAAAGTGAATTGGTTAAAAACGAACATAGTAATTCTAAAATGAGGACAAAATAAAATAGTTATTCATTAAAATTGATACTGAATTATATACTAAGTCAATAATATATTTTTTAAATAAAATAATGAGATTGTTTTCAAATTGTTATTTAAAGTTTTTAAATTTTTTAAATTAAAATTTAATAGTTAAATTTATTAGTCAAATTTAATAGTCAAGTTTTCTAAAACTTTAAGATTTTTAAAAATTGTTATTTTAAATTTTTTCTAGAACTTAAAACAAATAATATTCAACTAGATTCAAACTGTAGCATTACAATTTCTAATCAAAATGATTAAGAAACTTACACTGAGTGTTGTAAACTAAAAGGTGAATCTGGGACAAGAAAACTTCCCATAAGGGATAAAAATATCAACATCAAAACTGGGGCAAGTTGGGTAAGTAAACCATATCCACTCTGAAAAATAAAAAAAACATATATAGCATTTATACTTAAACAGAAATGTAGACCAACTTGTGTAAATACATCAATTATATTGCAACATAATCCCTTTGTCATTACCTCAAATATCTGCGTATAAACTTCAAATTATTTTGTGTGAAAATCCTAAATTTAATAATGCAATATATTTAAAATATACAATAAAAATAACATCATAAACAGGAGATTTTTTTTTTGTAAATTCTGATAAACATATACTAGGAACTTTCTTTTTCACACTTAGTATATTACAAATCAAATTAAGAGTCAGTTATCAAAACACTGTATGTTTTATCTAGATATCAAAAAAAAAAAAAAAAAAAAAAAAAAAAAAAAAAATTATGATAAACACACAGTATATCTAGGAACATTTATACCTGTCTTAAAAACAACAGCATTTAATGGCAATGATCCTATTCTACATAATTTTTGAAAATACCTTTAATTATTGTAAATTCCACACATATAAAAACTCTTCTCCATTGAGGAAAAGGAAAAAAGAAAAAAAAACATAATATGATCTTAAGTGTAATAGGAAAGCATTTCAAAGTGACCTAAATTTCAATATAACAACATGTTACATTTGCATGTTAATTTCACTACAAGAAAGAAACCAAATCACAATTAAAAATGATTTTGTATGCAGAATTAAAAATGAATATTTAAGTAGTGTTTACAAGTAAATAAAACAAAAACTATGTAAGTATTGAAGGCAATTTTGACCTTTAATATGGAAATATGTTGGTTGAGCTCCTTTTTTCATCATAGTTAATATAAAAATAAAGTTAATATTTAAATGCATTAGGATATACTTAGAGAAATAACCTGAAAAGTTACATAACACATTTAAAAAATTATTTAGATTGTGTTTTAGGATGTAATTATCAATAGAGCTTCTATAAGATTCTTTGAATTTAATATTTGAAAAAGTACAAGGGGTTGCTGAAAAGTTCTCAGCTCAAACCACTCCCTAAAATCTGACCAACTAGATGTCCCACAGTCTCTTAACCTTTAGCATTACTTTCTTTTTCACTGCATTCTTTTTCAAGACTTCTCAATTGCAGTATCCTTATTGTTAATTTCACTCAAAGTTGTTTTCTGTTGCTAGAGCAGGATTTGACAACACAACTATGAAATGCAAACACACATTTGTTCAGGGAACAGAGTCACCTTCAGTGGCCAGATAAACCTTTTTTACTGCAAATGAAGAGTGATAACAGTTAATTCATTTCTTGGATGGACAAAGACTGTCTCTGTATTGTTAATTATTCAGCTTTAACTTAAAATTTGTTAAATTTCTACTTTGCATCAATTTCTAAAAATTTCAGAAAATTCTCTTCATTAATAAATGTATTTACTGTGAGAAATAGCAGAAAAAAAAAGAACTTCTAAGATCAACAAGAAATGGTATAAATTATAAAAATTATTATTACTGGTCTTCAATATTACATTGGAACAAAAATTATATGGTTGTGTACCCTTCCTGGCATATCATGCACATTGGGGCCTCCTCCCCCTTTAGTAGTTGTGAGTGTGTGATAGAGGTGTCCCCTATATGGAGTCTGGTCAGTATCATCTCCTTGTTTCTAGACAATGTGTTGCCCTGCTACTTTCCTATGGTTGGTTTTATTTTACGTAATTTAATGTTTGGGCAAGAGTGATATTTGGCTATATTTTGAGAAATGGATCTGGCCGAGAGCTATTCAGCACTCCTTCATAGTATCTAAAACCTTGGAAGATAGCACTTGTTTGGAAATACTTCTACTGACAGATAAAAAGCTGTATAATATTCTCTCTCTTTTAGTTACAGAAGTCAGCAATTAACCAAAGTCGATATTTTTGTTTTAATTGTTCATTCAGTCAGTTAAGTGTCATATGTGATACGCTTGGGCGATCATGTATCTTTCAAAACATGACTGATGAGTAGATTTTTTTTTCGCCTGCAGTAGGTTGCCATTTCTTTCTGCAGTAGACTGGTTGCTAACCAAAGAAAAAGAACCCAGTTTGTTCTGCTATTCAACCTATAGTTGGGGGGAAAAAAAGAGATGGATTCATACCTTTCCCAAGAGTATTTGTGTATAAATGAATCTAACAAATTCGACTGGAATTAAAAATCAGCACTTTGAGTTCTCACGAGCTGATATCCACTGCACCACAATGCACATCTGCATTATCTACATTTTACCTGTTAGCAGAAGTATTTTTAATTATTACGAACCTTAAATAAAAGTTGTTAAAAGAAAATGATTCAGTTTATGGAAATCAAAGTAGTAATTAAATTTCATTTCCCTTTTCTTTTGAATCATCAACTCTGGTGGTTTTAAGCTTCTGCAAATGAATTCCTTCAAGTAACAATTTTATCACCAACAATATATATATATATAAGACTTTTTTTATGTTTATATGTTCTTTTTTTATAGATACAAATATTTAAGTAAATGCTCTATTTATAAGGTAAAATAATTGTCAGACTGTCCATTTCATAATGTGTGATGTCATTTATTTACATTTGGATACGCATTGAGCTGATATGAATGTATGAGAGAAAATCATGGAGAATTGTGTTTAAAAACAGTAAAATCGATCTTGCTAACTGAACGCTCATCTGTGGCTCAATTGGTTAAGGCACGTCAGGCTAAATGATGGTTCCGTATAGGATACAGGTTCAATTCCTGTCAGAGGATGCATATTTTCTATGAAAATTTCTCAGACATTCAGGCCGGTAAATGTTGTTAATACTGTTTATTATAAACAGAGCATTTACTTAAATATTTGTATCTATAAAAAGAACGTATAAACATAAAAAAATATCTTAAAAAATAATTGTCAGACTTTGTCCATTTCATAATATATATATATATATATATATATATATATATATATATATTACCCCCACACACACACACACAAAAGAACTGTTAAATCAAAATGTTTAAAATTTAATCTTAAGAATGATTTCTCCTCTTTTTATTCATTACAAAATGCATCATTTATGGTTAAGAAATAAATTTTCAGCAAATGTCGTCTATTGCCATACTTATTTTCTAGGACAGAAAAATCAATGAAGACTATAGCTGTTATGCAACAGAGCATTTAATGACCCAAATAAATAAGATCCTCTTAGAAGTTGTTTCAATTTCAGAATTCAAATCTATTTCCACCCTTTCTATTAATAGCTAAAACAGTAACCAAACATCAGAGGCAAATTGTGGAACAGTATGATTGACAAAAGATATTAAGCACATAATATATTGATCATAAAGATTACAACTGGCATAATGATGGATTCAAATGAAATGTTTGATTTACTGTTTAAAAATTGATTACATAGACAATTGCTACATACAGGTATTTAACTGTATTTGAAAAGTTTAGGGTACTTAACCCTTATCCTCCTGGTGTCAGTTTAAGCTGACTTTCTCTTTTTATTCCTTCCCTATATATTGTGACTATTTAAAATTCACATTTTCTTGATTGCAATTGAAAATGCGTAAATTTCTCAACATATAGCTTAGAAATATGTAACAAAAAAAAGTGTCAGTTTAAATTGACATGGGGGGGTATAGGTTAAATGCTAAAAAGTACTGCAGGCAATTTTCAGATAGGGTCAATATCTAGATAAAAAAATAAGTTATTACAGAAAATATGAATACCCTCAATGTATGATTTAATTTTTTTAACAGAATATTTAATAGCTTGAATTTCCATTTAATAATTTTTGAATTATTATCATGCTGAGAGATTATATCACTTTAACTATTTGGTTTCTTGTTTAGTAGTAAAACAGATCAATCATGCTAATTAAAAAAAGATTTTATTATTAAAATTTATTAACACAAATAGCGAGTATACTATCAATTTCAGCTTCAATGAGGAAAGAAATGAAGCAATTGGTACAGAAAAGACATTGTAACTTTTACAGAAATGAAACCTCTGCACATACAGCCACATATATATTATACTGAAAGTGCTGATAATAACAGGAGAAATTTTGCTTAAAAAGCATGAAATTGCCTTCACCTGACCGTCTGTTCCTATGTAGCCAAGAAGTAAGGTATGTCAAGCTAAACTGTGACTCTCTTTCTTAAGGGACACAGGTTCGTTTCCTGCTGAAGGGTACAAATTTTTCTTTAATAAGATTTCTCAAATATTCAGGACGGTAGGTGAAAATAAATAAATATACAGTTTAATAAATGGAGTGCCTATTCAAATACGAGTATCCACTAAAAATATTATTTAAAGCGATACAAATCTGTCAGATTAATAAAAATCCATTTTAAATATATATTACTTCAAACATTATTAGAATGGATATTTAACATAGATGTTCCATATTTATTTTGAAGTGCTTATTACTTGTATCAACCTCTGCACTCAAGAAGTCTTAATAAAGAAAATGTATTATAATAACTATAATGTTTGAATTAATAAAAATGTCAGATTAAAATTAAATCCATTAATTCTTTATATATATCAGTATAAACTAATCCTTAATTCTAAGGCATTAATTCAGGTTTAGACCAATATGTCAAATAAATCTCAACTCCTAATAAAGCATTAGCACATCTATGAGATTAAATTTCAGAGGGATTGATACGGCTCATGAATGGAGATGTTTGTAACACTTAAAGAGTCTAACTTATATTCTGATATAAGTACTGAAAAATCGAGACAAGGACTTTTGTATATAGGAGATATATATATTACAATGATGTTCAACTCTACAAGGCCCGAGGGCCACTCAAGGCAGAGGGTTACAGAGTAAGAGTCACAGCTTATGCGGATATGAGTGAAAGATAACCTGTTCAAGTCTAGGGTTAACCATTAATATTGTATTGATTGAGAAAGAAACCTGTTGGGAATTGGTCTCACAAGGCAGTAGTTTTTGGGAAGAAGCTGCTTGAGTAGAACTTACATCTCACCAAGAAAATGAGGATGGTTCACTACAATGTGTGTGGTATGGTAGATCTAAGCCA